GTAGCTTTCTGTGGTGGTGGTCGGGGGCGTGGATCAGGAGACATGTGTGGCGTTGGCGTGTGTATCTGCGGCGGTGTGGACGGGGGACTAGTGCCCCATGTCTCCAACGGTGTGGATGCATGGGCCGGCTCTGCTTGTGCTCCTTGTTCTTCGCTTTTTGCTGCTCCCGTGGGTGGCACTCCATTGCTTGATGCGGGCCAACAAAAACTAGCACCCGTCGTGTATAGAAGTAAGCGGCGGTTAAAACATTCTTCTCAGATACATGCATCACACTCCCTCACTAAACAAACACAGGTACACTTACGGATTGTTCTGGGTTGCGTGTGGTGGGTCCTTTTCCGGGCTTGCGTTGGAGGCCTGGCGGCGGGTGAAGCCGGACGATGAGGCCCAGGTAAGTCTGGGTAACCACATCTGATATGGCTGTACGCCTCATAAACAAAAAAGACGTGGTGGGCCGACTAATCTAGGCTTACTACCACTGAGGAGGCTATATGGCAGCACCTTAGTGCCTTACGCTAGCCCGTTTTGTTGGGTTGTCTGAGCGGTCGTTGGACTGTACACCTGCCGCTCGTTTCGCTGGGATGACCGTTGTGTACCAACATATACATAGATTACACACGAACACCATTTTTAGACTCGTTACTCAACGCCAGGGCAGTCTCCGCGAGTGGTACTGAGGGAGAGTGGCGACTCCCGGCCAGCCCGAGCAAGTAGCGGTTCTCTCTGGTAACAGAGAGGGCTGCTGCCCTGGTTTTAACCCTTTCCAAATACTTGTTTCTAGAAAAAAAGGGTAGTGCTGGCCTTCGCGGGTCAGTACGACACTCAAAAAGATGCCAAAATGAAAAACGTCGGTGCAAAACTAGTACCCCAGGCGGAAACCTCTCTGAGGGAATCCGCCGGCAGTTACGATCCGGCGAAAGCCTGGGTGACTGTCGCAGGCCCCACGGATTCTGGGGGGGGGGGGGCACAAAGACGTGTCTCATGGCCAACAGGGACTGCTAAATGTTCGATGGCCTTTTCTTACAGACAAATGACGAAGAGGAAGCCTGTCGAGTATAGGCACTAAGGACACTAAGGACAGCAACGTGTCAGTATTTAGCAACCAGACCCGGGAGGAGCTTGCCTCTTCAGAAGAAAGTGTCGCTATGCTCAGAGTAAAGTGACAGCAAGTTGCTGATAAAGTACAAACGAAAGACATTACAGAGACGCTACAAATAATTAACGATAAGTACGGCAACACAGCGAACGCTGTTAAAAATGGGCTCAAAGCCGCGCTTAAGCATCTTTAAGAGGCAGAGGTGCTGAGAAAAGGCTGTCTTACTGAAGAAGATGTGTATGCCAACGCTTGGAAGTCGTCATTTAAGGAAGCTCCTTCACGAAAGTCCCCAAACAGAGATATATTATTTCTTGTAAATAAAAGTTTACTGAATTTAATGGTGGTCTAAATTATATTTCGAATGGGTCAAAATTTTGAGAAATCCGAGCTCAAAGTTGTAACTATTAGCACGTGTTCCTATGGGGCAGCGTGAAAAACAATTTGTTTTCGTTTATAATAAACCTAAATTAAATGTCCCAGCAGACTGAATATTTACATTTTGTAGATGAAGTCTTCCTCTGTAATATGCTGTATTAAAAATTGTGGATAAAGGACCATTTTAGCGAGATATTTGTGATGGAAATAAATAAATAGTGTCCGGGAGTTCAGGAGGTCACGTGGGTAGCAGACGTACTTGTTCACGACATATATATACCATGTACCTATATATTACATCGCTATACTACACCAACACAGGTGGTCTGGTCTGGTGGTGTACCCTCGTATGCACTAGACTGGTCAAAACAATAATTAATTTTTCGTACAAAGTTAAACTACACACATAAATGTCATTTTTCCCACTTCATACGTTATTAAAAATATCATAATGATTCTCAGACACATTTGTTTATTAAAAAACAAAACTTTATTTTTTGTTTGTCTTTGACCTCAGCAGTAGTCGTAGGAGCCCTCTTAAATCCCTGCAGTGGAGGGAACATTGGCGAGATAATTTTCGACGGCATGTACAGAAAAAAAACCCTGAATACTGCCCTAAAAGAAATAGAACGAAGTAAAAGAAACAGGATCCCATCGGACAGCCCTGAGAAACGCCAGCAGACTATGTCTTCAAAGAAAAAGAAAACAGGCAGTGGCAAACAAAAAGAAATTTCCCTAAATGACAAAACAAGCCAGAAGAAAAAAGTGGATGCCACAACAACAGTAGTAGTAAAGATGGCTGAAGAACAGACCTTTGCAACGGTGCTGAAGACGATGAAGGCGAACTTTGACCCCGATAAGGCTAACGTGGCAGTCCAAAGTGTTGTCACTACAAATAAGGAGACATACTTATTAAGGCCAAAGGTGCAGAGAATGCTACTGCATTCTCACAGCAAATTGAAAAGTCGGTAGCTGGACAGGGTACTGTTAAAATGAGCAACAGAAAAGTGACATTAGAGGTCCGAGACCTGGATGCCATTGTAGAAGAAGATAAGGGCAAAGAGGCTTTCGCTAGGACTTTTGGACATCAGAGCCAGGAGTCAGAAGTAGCTCTCTTAAAGCCAAATTCCAGAGGACAGAGGCTGGCTTTAATAAAGGTGGACGAAGTATCTGCCAGTCAAGTAGAAAAAGAAGGCAGGTTACGAGTTGGCTTTGTAAGCTACCAAATTCGAAGAAGAATTGAAGTATTAAGATGTTACAAATGCCTTGGATATGGACACGTCTCAGGCAACTGTAAGAACGAAAACAGATCCAAGCTTTGCTTCCGGTGTGGAAGCTCAAACCACCGGAAGAAAGAGTGTCCAGGCCCAGCACGGTGCTTCCTTCGCCCAACAACGGAAAACAAGCACGAAGCAGGCAGCGGGAGTTGCCCTCTATTCAGAAGAGCCCTAAAAGAGGCCAGGGATACGTCCCAAGCAGGATCGAAATAAGGCAAAAAGGCCTTGAGTTGAAAGACAGGCTAATGTGGACCCACGCTGCGCTGGGTACTTTTTTTTACCTATCAGCAAGGGAAAGTATTAAGGTTATAGTGGTGCTGGCTAAGTAGACGGCCTAATATGAAGCGCTAGACAAGGTGCTGGTCCTCAGGGACCCCGAGTCCTTTTCAGGACTCGAGAGCATCAGCACCTCTAGCAAATGGTGGCGAGTTAGCTCGTTGATGCTGTGAGACGCGATGGTCTTCCTGGTGGCTCCACCCTGAAGTAATACTAACGCGGTTCCCGGCTGGATCAAAACCTCAGATACCTCGGATGCGCCAGCGCTCGCTCGATTGTGCTAGCGTGCCCTCGGAATCCTTGGATGCGCCAGCGCTTGCTCGATTGTGCTAGCGCGCCTTCGGAATCCTCGGATGCACCAGCGCTCACTCGTATATGCCAGTGGTGCCAGCGCTCTCTCGGTTGTGCTACCGCGCTCTCAGATACGCTAGAGTACATTCGGACAGGCTTGTGTGCGTTGGTATTTCTCGGATGCGTTAGCGTATGCTCGCATATTCTAGTGTTCCTCAGATGTGCTCGTGTACGCTAGTATTTCTGGGAAGTACTCGTAAAAGCTAGTATTCCTTGGATGCACTCGTATAAGTTCGTATTTCTGAGACGTGCTCGTATAAAATATAGTATTCCTCGGATGCGCTCGTGAAAGCTAGTATTCCTTGTCTGTGTTCGCATGCACTTGCATATGCTGGTATTCCTCAGCTGTGTTCACGTATTCTTGCATACGCTAGTATTCCTCGGACGTGTTTGCCTACGCTTGCATACCCTCATGACCGTTTGTGTACACTAGTGTTCATCGGACCCATTCGCGGGGGTGTAAGAGACACCTAATAGTTGTCTGGCCAGTCTGGCTGGTGCCCATAGAGAAAATATACTAGAGGAAGCGAACAAGCCGTGACCGCATACAGATGGTAGACAGAGAAAGAAGATTGTGTCGGTCTTGCATCTCTCTCTGCTCTTATCCTGATTGGCTATTTTAAATGCCCTCTTCTGCCTCTAATTCAATATATATACCTACTGCTCTACTATACCTACTACTATATACACTGTCAAGCAGCAGCCAATCAATGCAGAGAGCAGAGAGAGATGCAAGACCAAAACATCAGTCATTTTCCTCTGTCTACTGACCGTACGCTTCCACTTACAGAAGAATATACAGTTTGCTTCCTCTATTATATTATCTATATGCTGGTGCCAGAGCACGTAAGGTCTTACGGTGGAAGACACTGTCACTAGGTTCTGCCTAACACTCGCATCCTTCTGCGAGGGACAAACAAGGTTGCAGTCGAGCACAGTAAAGGCGCACGGACGTGTGGAGACAATTTTAGGTGATGCTGTGATATGCCAAAGACGCAAGGACGTGTTAGGTAGCACTATCTGATAAGTGCATAAATACCAAATATAGCTAGGTGGGGCTAGAATCACTGGTCATAGATCAAGACGATACGACGTAATAGGTAGTCTCGGTACGCAAAGTCTATAATACACAGGGGCACGTTAGATGGCCCCAAAATCCACCTGGTGTAACGTTCAAAGCCAATAAAAAACTATTCAATTTAATATGCATAATTATAAGATTAAAATTCAAGGAAGCTACGGTGGCGTAGTCATTGGTTTAATTTCGTCAGATTATACTATGCTAACTAGGAATTGGGTCGCTTAAAAGTGCGTACGCAAGTTAAGTAAAGCATAGCCCAAGACTTTTGTTGTGACTGGGGTCCAGGGAATCAATAGTGATCGACATATAGAAAGAATACCATTTATTTAATAACACACGACGTAAGTATATCATATGACGAGCGTACATACAACTGCTCTACTGGGTGGACAGAGCTACACTACTCGTGGCGCGCGCGCCAAGCTCCCGCTTACACGCATACATCCAAACTGTACTAATACATTACATCCCTTCATCCTTAACTGGCGCGCCTCGCGATCAAGTGAACCCGACGGTAACACTGTAGTTCACCCAAATCGACGGCTCACAAATCCAATCGCTCCGGAGCTCTCCTTGTACGCGAAGATCGCCTCAGCCCGGTATCGCTGATGGGCATCTGAACAGCCTCCTGCATACCTCGCTCACGCGATTCGCTCATTGGCCTGACATTCTTAGTTTCGAAGCGCTCTTCGTTTACAACGTCGGATTGGCTCGGTCTCGGTTGCTCATATGCCTTTACTGAAGCGTCGGTCCATACCGGACAAGGAACCGACTGCGGTACAATCTTGTTTCGCACATCGTTACTTCGAGGGCGCAGTTGATCGAGATATCTCTTGCTCTCTACGTTAACATTTGACTTGACATGATATGTTACAGGCCCAAGCCTTTCTGAAACGATTGCGGGTTCCCATTGGTTTCTCTGGAAACTTTTTGAAAATACACAGTCACCCTTTCCAAACTCTTCTTTTCCATCCCCCCTGAAAAAACGTTTCTGAACAGCTTGGGCTTGTTCGACCTTCCTGCGAATAGGTAGTTTAATTAAGTCCAAACGCGTTTTAATTTTTCGTTCTACCTGTAGTTCAGCTGGAGACACGCCAGTTGTACTATGGGGCGTTGAGCAATAATACAATAAATATTTAGATAACGCTTCTTGTTTTGAATTCTTCCCTTTCACCAGGAGCTTGAACTTGTTTTTGAAGGTTTTAACTGCGTTTTCAGCAGCTCCGTTGGATGACGGATGGTACGGTGGCGTTAAAATTTGTTTAACCCCATTTGTGTACAAAAATTTTTTATATTCGTCTCAAGTGAACGTCGGGCCATTGTCCGATACGATTTTTGTGGGGATTCCCCAAGTCGCGAAGTAGTTTCTTAAGACTTTAACAGTACTCGCCGCCGTAATATTCGCCATTTCATATACGTCCATCCATTTTGAGAAGGCGTCAGTAATCACGAGATACATGCAATTATCGATCGGACCGCAGATATCAACGTGTAAACGCTCATTCGGACCCGCTGGCCATTCGTGACAATGTAACTCGGCACGTCTTGGATTACCCGCGAAACTTGAGTATAGCTCACAGTCTTTCGACAGTTTTTCAATGTCTGTATCCATGTGGGGCCACCACATGTATGTTCTCGCCAAACTTTTCATTTTGCCAATGCCCCAGTGGCTCTCGTGTAATTCATTTAGTAGTTTTTGTCTCAACGATTCCGGAATTACTACTCGATGCCCCCACATGATACAATCATTTTCTACTGTCATTTCTAACTGACGCAATTTGTACGCATTGAACTTTGTGTCCACCTGGTCAGGCCAGCCTTCGCGCAAAAAGTCAAGTACTTGACTCAGAATTACATCTTTCATCGTTTCGCTCCTAACTAGTTCAACATCGATAGGTTTAAAATCATTCGCAAAGTTCAGGTATGAATAGTCATTTTTTTTCCACCTCGTTTTCGTTTTGAATTTTTTAACAATATTCCGCGAGAGGCTATCCACCGGACCTTTTTGTGTGCCCTTAATGTGAACAATATTAAAATCGTACCCGCTCAAGAATACGGCCCATCGTTGGACCCGTGATGCCGCCATTTGGGGTAACCCCTTTTTAGACCCAAAAATAAAACTCAGCGGCTTGTGGTCTGTCTCCAACGTAAACGTTCTACCGTACACGAACTGATGGAAGGTTTTGACCCCAAAAACCAGCGCTCTTGCTTCCCGATCTAACTGTAAGTAGTTACGTTCTGCGCGTGACAAGACTTTTGAGGCAAACGCTATAGGCTTGACGCTACCATCCTCGAACACATGGGATAGCACAGCTCCCACTCCTATAGGCGAGGCATCACATGAAATTTTAATCGGTATATTCGTGCTGTAGTGAACCAGCACTTCTGGAGAAATCACCGCTCACTTTGCATCTTCAAAAGCCTTGTCACGTACCTCGCTCCATTCCCATTCAGTGTTTTTTTTTAACATTTCGTACAACGGTGCAACTATACTAGCAAAACCCTTAATAAATCTCGAAAAGTAACTGACCATCCCAAGGTATGATTTCAACTCGCTTACATTTTCGGGTTTTTTCTTTTCGCTTATCGCCTTGGTTTTTGAAACGCTCGTTCTAATACCGTCAGCACTCAATTCAAATCCTAAGAATTTAACTGTTGTTTTTGAAAATCCACATTTTTTTCTTATAATGTCAAGTTACTTTCGTGCAGCTTTAACAAAACCTTGTTCAAACGCTTGTCATGCTCATCCTGATTTTTGCCCATCACAAAAATTTCGTCGAAGTATGATACTACCCCGGGTATGTTCCCTAACAACGACTCCATCTCGCGCTGAAACAACCCTGGCGCGGATGCTACCCCGTACATCAGACGATTACAAGCGTACAGACCCTTGTGTGTGGATAGTGTAAGTGATTTACGCGACTTTTCATCGACCCAAACTTGCTGATACGCTTGTGCGATGTCAAGTTTGCTGAAAACTTTACCCCCGTCCAAACGCGTACTCAAATCTGATAACCTCGGAATGGGATGTCTATCCACTTCCAAGCACGGATTTATAGTCACACTGAAGTCCCCGCACAAGCGTATGTCGCCATTTGATTTTATTACCGGAACTACCGGTGTAGCCCACTCACTTCTATTCACTAGTTCAATTATATTTTCCTTAACTAAACGTTCTATTTCTTTTTCTATCTTGTCCCTTAGCGCCTAGGAAACCGGTCGCGGTTTACAAAATTTTGGCACTGTTACTTCTTTTAGCTGTAACGTAAATTCTTTCCTATCATAGCAACCCAATTGATTCGAGAAAACTTTCATACTATCCCCCTTTTCGATTTTTCCCGACTCGTTTTTGATCACCCCGATTATTAACCTCTTGTTCTCACGATCAACGTTAAGCATGTTCAACTTACGAAGCCAATCTCGACCCACAATGGGCGCGCCACCCTTATCAATAATATACAAATCAAGTTCGGCTACCGTATCATTGAATTTGACCTCGGCTCTCACGGTTCCTCGCGGAACGATCACACCATCTTGGTACGACTTGAAACGTCGCGTCGATTCATCGATTTTTAATGCTTGCCACTCGCGGTGCTTAACGAAGTAATTATATGACATAGCCGAGATTGGAGAGCCGGTGTCAATTTCGAACTTGACGGTTTTACCCTCTACCGTTAAAAACACCGACAGGGATTTTTCCCCTTTTACCGCGTTGATCGTTTTGATGTTATTCAAGACGCTATAATCACACCGCTTTCGCTCGACTCCTCGTTCGACACGTAATTTTGCCACTTGTTCCCTTATCTCGACGCACCTGCCCTTTTCCCTGGTCTCCCCTACTCTCCGATTTCTTCTGCCTGCATACCCCCTTCATATGTCCCCGCTTACCGCAATTGTCGCACAAAGAATCCTTAACCTTACATTCGCTTTTAAAATGCCCCTTCCGGCCGCAGCAGTAGCACGTGACTTTCTCCTTGGCCTTCTTCTCGCCCTTCCCCTTCACGTAGTTGACTATGTCGTCCTTGCTACTCTTCATATCAGCTGCGTCCCGCTTGGCCGCCTCCAGGGAGTACGCTAGCTCGATAGCACGTTGACACGTTAAGTCCCGCTCGCCGAGCAGCCTCTTCTTAATATTGTCATCAGACAGCCCCCAAACTAGCTAGTCCCTGATGTTGCTCTCGAGGGTCTGTCCGAAATCGCAATGGATCGATAGTTTCTTTAGCCGCGTCACGAAATGCTTCAAGTCTTCTCCCTCCTTCTGTCAGCCTTCCTTGAACTTAAATTGCTCTGCTATTGTGCTCGGTGCCGGCTGCAGGTGCTCACGCATTTTCCTCTCAATCTCAGGCAACGACAATGCAGCAGGCGTAGTGGGTGTGCACAAATTTCGCACAAGGCGATAACCCTCTCTCCCCAACAACGTCAAAAACAGTGACACCTGCTTGGTTTCCGGTACTTCGTTCACGAGTACATATTGTTCGAAGCGTTCATACCACTCCGACCAGTCATCATCTTCGCTGAATTCACCGATCGAGCCCCACGTTCCGTAAACGACCGGCGCGATGGCATTTCTTTGTGTACTCGCGAGATTCATTAAGTTACCCGCCGCGTCCCACTGTTTTTGTTGCTCGGTCAACATGGCGTTTTCTTCCTACGCTCTTTGGTGCTCCGCCTCTAGCCGTTGCGAAAATGCCACCAATTCCTCGATCTCCTCCAAGTTTTTTACGGGTTTCCCGTTGAACATCATCTCGAACGGCCTTTGTCCTTGTCCGCGCTCACTTGTTTTCACACGATGCTTGTCGTTCCTTTGTTACCGCGTGCGCAAGTGCGTATAGTCGTCTAATTATCGCGAGTCTCACGTGTTATTATTACGTGAATATCACTATTGGCTTCTCCTTACCACGCAGGACGACGCACACAAAGAAAACAAAAAATCCCATGCAATGACACGTATGTGCAGGGTCACCAACCTAGGTAACCTCACTTGCGTACGCTTGTCTGACCACCACACACGACACTCTCGTCCAACTTACGTCACACACTTCCTTCCTATGCCGATCCCATCGTCGTCGCCAAGATGTTGTGACTGGGGTCCAGGGAATCAATAGTGATCGACATATAGAAAGAATACCATTTATTTAATAACACACGACGTAAGTATATAAATCATATGACGAGCGTACATACAACTGCTCTACTGGGTGGACAGAGCTACATTACTCGTGGCGCACGCGCCAAGCTCCCGCTTATACGCATACATCCAAACTGTACTAATACATTACAACTTTTATGTTATATGCGTGCCATATTCGGGATTTACACGAGCTACGTTGGCATGCCCTGCTTGGTTGTATGTGTGTAGTCCAGGGGGTGATCGATATCGTATGTGCTGTATTCCATGACGAGTTAGTAAAAATCCTAAATTGTTTAGAAAGTTTAACAATGTGCTTTGTCTAATCAACATTGGTTCGCCGGGCAAAGCTAAGGTATACCGATGCAACGGCTGTCACGATACTCACGATAGGAACCGATGCTAGTCAAGGATAGTCGAGGCTGCAAATAATCACTGATCTTGGATATGCTCAGCCAACCTAGAGTCCTAGAGATTTTCTTGAAACACGAAATCATGCTATATGGCGCTAGGGTCATTTGGCGTTCATGGGTACTAGCATTCTCGGCTGCAGCGTTGGGTTAGGCGGATTCAATATCGGAACTTTTTCCCTAGATCGTGTATATAGCTATGCGATCTGGGGAGAATGTTCCGTCGAGCAGACAGCACAGCAGTGAAGGGGCATTACCAAAGACACGCGGAAATTCAAAATTGTAACATTAATGACACAAGTGCCTATCACCCAATGACCCGGGGCGCTAACTGGCCTCTCTATTAAATGATAAAGTATTAATTATTAACACAAGCGCCTGTCACCCGATGACCTGGGGCGCTAACTGGCTACACTATTATTTCATAAAATATTAATTATTAACACAAGCGCCTATCATTCGATGACCCAGGGCGCTTACTGGCCTCTCTATTAAATAATAAAGTATTAATTATTAACACAAGCGCCTATCACCCGATGACCCAGGGCGCTTACTGGCCTCTCTATTAAATAATAAAGTATTGATTATTAACACAAACGCCGATCACCCAATGACCAGAGGCGATAACTAACCTCTCTATTAAATAATAAAGTATTAATTATTAACACCAGCACCTATCACCCGATGACCCAGGGCGCTTACTGGCCTCTTAATTAAATAATAAAGTATTGATTATTAACACAAACNACATGAGATTGAATCAACTGTAGGATTCAGGACGAAGAAGTAGCTAATAACGTGGCTTTGGCAACAAGGACAGATGCCCCGTTACACTTAATTATGCTGTCGCTGCTGCTTATGGGCTAGCATAGCGCTTTTCCCCTCTATTCTTATACCTCTATGGCCTGCGGCCTTATGGCTTATGGGATGAGGACAATTCTATCCTGCACCATAGACATATAAAAAATAGACTGCTCTTTCTTATGTACAGCACTGAAGCACAAGTGGTAAGAGACACAATGTTGAACACGAATATCTGTCTCTTTCTCTCTCACGTTGCCTACGGCCTCAGGCGGGAGGTTGCATCAACTGGCCTTAGTTTACTGACCCCCACCGTAAGCAACGTGCAAGAGAGACAGATATCCACGTTCGATATCGTGTCTTCTTTTACTTGTACTTCAGCGCCGTACATAAGAACGAGCAGTCTATTTTTCCTACATGTCTATGTCTATGGTTAACTAACTAGATAATATTCAGGAACATTATTTTCTTTACAAACAATATTTTTCTCTTTTAAAGTTACTCTTGAGGGGGCTTTATATCCAAGTAAGGCATACGTTTTTAATAATTATTGTAAATGTTTATTTAAATGTAATTATGAAGAAAAACTACAATATAAAACAGGGGGACTTGATGTGTTGTGAATAAATTATTTTTAAAAAATCCAAATTACTTGCGTGTATATTATCTTATTTTAAAAAAACACTTGTAAAAGTTGGAAATCCTTAAAGCTATTCATGTTATTCCAACTTTTCGAACTTATTATATTCCTTGAAGAATTTCATATAGAGTAATTACTGTAAATTTTATGATATAATACATGTATAATGAGTTAGGTACCATTGTTTATACCAAACTGTAGGTTTTCACTCCTTTTTTGCGTTTTTGGAAAACAATTACATTTAACTCACTAAACATAAATTGTATCAACAAATTTCCAGTGATGACTTTATCTGTAATTATTCACGGAGTATAATAAGCTTTGAAAAGTTGAAATAACATGAATAGCTTTAAGGATTTCCAACTTTTATAAGTGTTTTTTCAAAATAAGATAATATACACGCAAGTAATTTGGATTTTTTAAAAATAATTTATTCACAACACATCAAGTCCCCCTGTTTTATTTTGTAGTTTTTCTTCATAATTACATTTAAATAAACATTTACAATAATTATTAAAAACGTATGCCTTACTTGGATATAAAGCCCCCTCAAGAGTAACTTTAAAAGAGAAAAATATTGTTTGTAAAGAAAATAATGTTCCTGAATATTATCTAGTTAGTTAACTATTAGAATTAAGATTGGAAAAAATTATATCTATTAATAATTGTATGATTCAGTTGTAAATAAGCAAAACAATAACACATGGTACTTACACTTTATATACACGTAAATTGTCAGACTGGTATCTCATCCTCTCTGGCCAAGCGGTAAGATGCTTGCCTTTTAAACTGGGGGCTCGAGTTCGTGTCCCATATAAGCCGAATTTTTTTTTTTTTTTCCTATAACTGTTGATATTTTAGGTAATCATTCTATTGATGTATAAATTATAATTGTTGCACAAAATTTTTTTATTTATTTTTTTTTTCCAAAATCTCACCTGAGATCTCAGATAAGAATTTGGCATAAGATCTCAGGTGAGAAATCACATGAGATATCAGATGAGATCTCAGGTGAGATTTGTCAGGAGGGTTAATAATGAATACTTTATTATTTAACAGAGTGGCCAGTAAGCACCCTGGGTCACTAAGTGATAGGCGCTTGTGTTAATAATTAATACTCTATTATTTAATAGAGAGGCCAGTTAGCGCCCCGGGTCATTGGGTGATAGGCACTTGTGTTATTAATATTACAGTTTTTAATTTCCGCGTGTCTTTGGCAATGCCCCTTCACTGCTGTGTTGTCTGCTCGACGGAACATTCTCCCTAGATCGTATAGCTATATATACGATCTAGGAAAAAAGTTCCGATATTGAATCCGCCTATAGCCCAACGCTGATCGGCTGCCAGAAAATTTTCTCACTGTGAACGCAGCCATAGATTCCACCTTGATTACGCGTTTCGGCTCGGCGCCTAATGCTATAGGGTCAGAGAATAATGACTCCGTCATACGGCAGTGACAGCATAATTAAGAGTAACGGGACATCTGTCCTTGTTGCCCAAGCCACGTTATTGGCTACTTCTTCGTCCTAAATCCTACAGTTGATTCAATCTCATGTTGAACTCGACCAATAACATAACTGCCAGATAAAGACAGATGCCCCGTTACGTAGCGAATTCTGCTGTCGTGTATCCCCAAACAGAAATGTAAGTCGGTTGCCTCTCTAGTTCGTGAGGCCTTACTGAGGGCACACGTAGGCGCGTGAGGAAGCGTGCGTGAGGTACTCATTAGGCAGCCTACATAACCTACCTTTATCTTACTTTACGAATAGTATATACAGTTGTATCAGCTACAGTTGCTGTGTAAACTGTAGCGTAAAATTATACACAGGTACACAAGTTACAAGTGTCTTTCATTGAGTCCTAGGTATACAAATGATTAATGAGTATTCTTATACAAATGAGACTGACTAAATCAATAGACGTTAAATTTTTTGTCAACCAAACAAAGTTTCTTAAAGTACTGAATTTGAAATAATAATTGTTGCTTCAAAAAATTTCAATAAAAACTATTAAAAAACCGTACTAAGATTATGAAACTCAACATCCAACAGCTTGTACACTGTCATTTAGATGTCTGCCGTCAAATCAAGTTCATGTATTATTTAATTGAATCAATATGTTTTGTATGAAAGAAAAGTAAACTGCAGTGTGAGCATTCAATTTGTATTAATTTCTTGCTTATCATTTAATAGTTCCTCAGAATTAACTCACGAATCACATGTTCATATTGTAAATTTGATATCAATTGTGAATGAGATATTTTTGAGGTTACATTTATATCATTATTTATATAAAATTTATATTTATCTTGGGGTTATATTTTTGTAACTACACGTGATCATTAATGCCGTAATAGAAAATTTTTATGAAAATTAAGTATGATTCGTTTGAAATGGAGCAGTACTTTTGTTTAATTAAATTACATAAATTACAATTTGTAATCTCAAATGTTTACATCAATATTTATCGATTGAAAGGTGGTTATGTTACGTCAATGGAGGCAGCCTACTTAGGGCCTACCAAATGCCACCTGACACTGCCAATGTAGGACCTCAGTTGGCAAGAGAGGCAGCCTCAGTAGGCCCTACTGATTGCCTACTTACAATTTCCGTTCGGGTCACTCCTCACACCAGTCACGCGGTCACGTGACACGTCCC